GTGCCGCCAGTCGCGCCAAGATCACGAATTGGTAGAAGTTAGAATTCATGAACTGGTCATTGAATTGAGTCCCACTGGATGAATGGTCAACGAGTTCGCCGGCCTTGTAACCGGAAGGTCCTGGGTTCGAATTCTGGCGATGGGGTTGATGCGTACTGCCGATGAATCCTAAACTAGGATGAAACAGCTGGCTGTCCAGTACTCCAATGTTGGTTTTCACTGGTTATCTAACTGATATCAATCCTCCGTGGTTTAACTTGAAAAAAAACAAATAATCTTATCAAATTTGAGTAATGCAAGAACAACAACTTTTTCAGAATAAAGTAGTGCCATCACTGCTTATTTCGTTGGCTCCTCATCAACTGCTTACAGGTCACAGTCATTATTAGGTATATCTACAGAAACAATTTTAACATACTTACCCACACAAACAAAAATCAATCAATATGTGCATAGAGTAATTATATATAATAAACACTATTCTGAACAATAATGATCATACACAATGGAAACTTTTCAGCATTGTATTCAGATGAAAGGGAGATGAAAATATTCAGTCACCAGGGCAAAAAAACCATTTGTTTCTGGATGCATAAATCAGGTTTCAGGCGCTTGGTGGAGATTGCTTCGGGAAACTTGAGGAGAATTGAGCTCTTTTGCTTATTGATTATTTTGAATCATTTTGCGACGTCCACCTCATAACCTGTGTCAGGAAGATGCCTGGTGATGGCACTGTTTAAAGTATTTGTTCCATTTAGATATAAGCTGTTTGGTACATGTTCAGAAAATCGTAGGTATGCCCTTCTTCTTTCTGTTCTTCCAACGTAACTGCTCCCGCAGATACATGTAAATTTGTATATACAGTTGGAGTTAACATGAGAAGGATATCTATCGATTTTTGTTTGCACCAAAGATGAGCAAGTTGTTCAATAGACGGGGACGAGCTTAGCTGCAGGATAGGCTCTGGCTAGTGACGTACTCAGTCTTCTTTTGACCATCGCTGTAATGTTTTCACCTTTATAATCAAGTTCAATGTAGATTGGCTTTTTACCCACTGTGATTTGTTTTACATTTGAGACTTCAGATCTTCCGTACTTGTTAATGAACCTTTGAGGGTAACCATTGCTATTCAACATCTTTTCAAGAAACACAAATTCTTCATCTAATTTCTCTATAAAACATATTCTCCTGGCTCTATAGTACAGAGTCTTGATTAGTCCGCGTTTAAAGCTATTTGCACAAAAACTATTTAAATGCAAGTATTGTCCTTTCCAAGTAGGCTTTCGATAAATTGACTTCTGAAGACTACCATCTTCTAGGCGTTGCATTGCGATATCGAGGAAGTGGAAGAACAAAAAGAAGAAGGGCATATCTACGATTTTATGAACATGTACCAAAAAGCTTATGTTTAAAGGGAACAAATGATTTCATCGCCAGGCATCTCCTCGACAGGGGTCATGAGGCGAACGTTGCAAGATCGTTCAAAATTATCAATAAGCAAAAGAGTTCAATTCTTCTCAAGTTTGCTGAAACCATTTCCATCAAGCGCCTGGAACCTGATTTATACGTCCAGAAAGAAGCGGGTTTTTTGCCCTGGTGACTGAATATTTTCATCTCCCTTTTATCTGAATACGTAATGCTGAAAAGTTTCCCATGTTTACGATCATTATTGTTCGGAATAGTGTTTAATATTACATATATATATTATTACTGTATGCATATATTGACTGATTTTTGTTTGAAATGAACTCTGTGCAAGTATGTTAAAATTGTTTCTGTAGATATACTTAATAATGACTTTGAGCTGTAAGCAGCTGATGAGAAGTCTACGAAATAAACAATGATGGTACCATTTTATTCCGCTAAAACTGTAGTTCTTGCTTTGTTCAAATTCATTAAAGGGAATAAATGTATGAAATCTTATCAAAGTTGGAGCTGTCGTAGTAATCGAACCTTGTGATTCAACCGAAGGCGCTCCATTTTAATGCTCAGACTTTATCGATGAACTAAAGTGTTTTATCAACTTCGGTCACCTTTACTAGTGGAAAATAATAAATTGCTGGATACTGGGTAGCAGCGCTACTCGGCTAAATCACTTCTATGTGTATATATCAGTTCACCTGTTGCTGTGGAGCCAGACAGGTACATCGGTCGTCCAACGCGCATCCTGTCAAAAAAGAGTCAAAGAACACTATCCAGCAAGGCTGCAGAAGGGAAGTAGTCGCCGTATAAGAAGTGCAATAACCAAACATCTCGTCAACACTGGTCATTCTATCTCAACAAACGCCTCCTGCTTCAAAGTAATCTACAAAGTGAAGAACAACCTGTCAAAGACAATACGCTTTCGTCTTATTTGCATTGCAGAAGCCCTAGCCATTAAGCTAGAGGAACCAGAACTATGCATACAAAAGGAAATTATTCAATCACTTCTACTGTCATAGTAACAACTCTGTTGCTTGTATGTTTGTTTTTCTAACTACTTAAAACTCTTGTGTAATTTCGTATGTTATTTTGTTTCCATGTACACCCTGAGCACAACTCTTTCATCCAACTATTCGTGTTATTAGGTAACTCTTCTTTAACAATCGTCTGTTACTACCCTCTTATATCAACATCCAATCCATCTGAACTTACTAATTGTATTTTTGTTTGACAAATTTAATGTACACACACATACAAAGCAACCATATATAATTGCGATTGTACAGCTATCAAAATGAATTCGCCGCCGAAAAGAGACTCTTCGCTAAACTACTTGTCTTCTGTCTATTAATGTTCGAATGGGAATTTTTCATGAAAATCAGTAATACATTGAATCGAATTTGGAGTTTACACAGTTCAAAGTGAAATTTCACTCGTTTCTTTTGGAAGGTGAAAATAATCAGTTGGTAGTATGTGATTTGGGTGGTAGCAGCTTAGTAGAACCGAGTACACACGCTTAATGAGCTCTGCTAGCAATGAGAGAAACAACTATCCGGCGGTCTGCTTGAACCGTTGGGCTACACGGAGTTGCGTTCCATCAAAATGCTTAATTTCATCTGGGTTTATTATCATTGTTTTAATCGTCCAAATTATATCAAATGACCTATACGTGAAATTGCGCACTGATTTAACTTGCTTCCAAGTAAACACTATGCAATTCTTCATCGAATTGAAGATATTTACCTCAGATTATTACTTCTGCATGTAAATTCTGTATGAAGAAAATACTACTTTGGAACTAAATCTCCTGAAAACGTTTGTACCGTATGTTTGCATATAACTATCATTATTCCATATGGCTGGCTGGCTGGTTACCACTAGTGGCATATATGAATGGTATCCGACTTCTAAATATCGATCGATCGATCAATCAATCAATAGCAATATAGTATCATGCATTTATACTTACTCTCTTGGCAGCTACTTATTGCAATCGATTAGATCATATACTGTGATTTTATTCCTTTACGTTCCCAGTGCTGGGACATAGGGCGGCTTCAACCTTTATTAACTATGCTACTTGCATTGGTCATTGGGTTGCAACTAAAGTCATACGTCTAGTCCCTGGCTTGGTGTAGACTAAATTCTACCAAAGAACTTTGGAATGTGGCTACCACGCCACTAGGTGGTTCGACATCACGATGTACTCTGAATTATTGTTAGATGTTTTTAGACGTTTGAAAGGAAACCTTGCTAGAAATAGGTTCCATGATGGTTGGAATTCATCCGCAACGCGTATCTGCAATCTTGAAGGTGCTCATGTCCCCTGTGAGAAACATGTAACATCAGTTCATTGTACACCACGATAGTGAGTCACCTGGACATACTGACCAAATTGAAGACTTGATTGATACAATACAAACTGCACCAATTCAAGGACTAGAAGAATGAAATTGTTTACTACCCAGTGAATAATCAAAGTATCCATTACGATCTTCCAGGAGGCTCATCATGAACCTGAATAGCTTCATTGCTAACATCTCTAACTGCAGCAATCAATGGGTGGCTCAGATTCAAATCTCGGAGTGGACATCACTTTCTTCAAGAATGCAGATACATTAGCTTTACTAATGAGCATGAAACCTAAGCGCAAGGCTTACACTGCTGATTGCCTCCAATTATCTAACATTAACCATGACAAATAGGAAGACAGAAATATGTTGGACCAATGAGACTACTCGAGAAGACCTGAGTTTCGTAGATGAACTCGAAGACTTGTAGGTAGGCGGAAACCTACAAACTGGCTGAAGAGGAGGGCGAGCAGGCAGGTAGCGTAGACAAGCCTGACTCCTGGTGAAAATAGAGAAGACAGAGGTGATGAAATTAACCAACCAACCAGCACCAATCACCATCAACGGGAGGGAGAGATTTGACATAGGTTACTTCCTTCCCTCACTTATCTGGCCAAGAAACCAACACGCTTTCAACCACAGGTTGGTAGGCAGTCAGGCGGTCGGACAGCAGGCATGGAGATCGGAAAGGCAAGATACGTATTCATGAACCTGGAACCAGTTTGGAAATCTTCTGCTCCACTCACTCACTCACTCAGCCAGCCAGCCAGCCCGCATGGAGAACAAGATAGTCTCAGAGACTGTTCAACACAAATGTGAAGTTAGTCAGTCAGTCAGTTAGTCAATTCTTCTATACCGGTCAGAAACTTGCACTGCGCGTGAGTCGGTCAGTCAGTCACAAAAAGCATTTCCAACAAAAGCGGATCATGTTCATGGCTAGCGAGTATTCTACAAACTGAACCATCGCGACGCACGCACCCATACACACATCAAATAGTTTGTAACTAACTAACTATTATTAGTTGAACAAAAGTAATAAAACTACTCTTAGTTTAAAAAAATATATGTATTTACTTATTATTTGTTGAAAACTATTCATCATTCACCAATATACATGTTTACAGACAGAAAAAAAGAAGAAAGAAAAACGAATATTCACTAACGAAAAAGAAAACCAACAATCCTTCTGTTACTTCTCTCTCTTCTAACCATTAGGCATCTTTTTTTTTACATCGATATTGAATTCCTACTCAAATGAGTAGTATGATTAGGCGAATTACCATGAGGTGGAGAAGAAGAAGAAGAATAAGAAGGAGAATTCACCGAAGAAACATTGAAGGCGTTAGCAGTCCCATGATTCACAGTCTGATTAACAACAGCAGTAGCACTAGGAGTCGTCGTAGTGGCAGTAGTACTCGTAGGAAGAGATGACGACGTTGGTGAAGTACACTCAACTTTCTTTGAATAAACAAATTGTACTAATATTGAATTACGTAAATGTAAGTAGAAATTAACAAAACAAAATAATCCATTTATGACTAAACCAATTAATTTATACCATTCAACCATTGAATAGGCGACAGTGCATTGATACAGTATAATCAATGATGAAAGACACACAAGGATACTACTGATACGTTGTGGATTGTTGAATGTATACTATAAAAAGAAGGGAGAAAATAAGTGAAAACATGATTATTATACTTAATAGTATTATTATTATTATTCTAGCCTTCATTAGTTTTTGCCATCTTGGGGACCCCAACCAGTCAGTGAGGAAGTCTACACTGGCATCTACACTGGCTGGCATAACACATGTCCTAACCACCTCTTTCAAACGATGTAACTTCACAACCTCGTCAATTGATTTCCCCTCCAACTCACCTAGCACTCGACGAACACCTAACCTCAATATTGCTCACCGTATTACATCACCTAACACACACGGCAGATAGAACGCAGTCACTAATGATCAAGGGCATCTAGCCAGCCTTTTCATATCTTCCATATCTGCCATGTCTCATTCACAGCCAGCCGTAAAAGAGTACAGAGCGAACTGCTGAGTAGTACACACGTACTTTGGTAGACAACCATCCAGTCAGATATCACGTCTACTAAGCCAGAGATGGCGTAAGTCGGCAGGCAAATGCCAAACGAGCCTTCTGCATCTGTGCTGAGATTTCATCAGCTATCAAACTGTTGGTGCTGGCTGATGCAACTTTCCAAATAAGTGAAGTGGTCAGCACACTCCACCAACCGCTCCACTCCTGTAGAAACATCTTACATTTGACAGCAGGAGTGAATCGCATGCCAAACATTTAAAGATTGCTTGCTGCTCAAGGTGCTCAGAAGACTCTGACTCATTTTGTCAGTGTCTTCCACTACGAAGGAGGACTATATCATCTGTATATTCTCAGTCAACGAAACTATTATTTTCAAAAGAATGGATGCTGAACAAACAGTACTCTTTTCGATAACCTCGTCATCAGGCTCTACAGTTATATATACATTATAGTAAATGAATGAATGAATTAGTGTTATGAACAACAACATTAAGGTTGTTTAAATAACATCGAATCAATAATACTGATAGATTACAGCTCAATAGCATCAACATAAAATAAGCTGAATGTCAGAAAAATTATGAAAGATAATAATACAAATTCGTAAATTTAAAGTCTTTACTGAAGACCAGGGCAGTAGTAGTGGCTGACTGAACTTGCTTCTTTTGCACACAGACCACTAGTTGTTTGAGGTGAATTGCAATAGCCTCTGCTTTTTGGAGTATGAGATGCTTCGATGATTTCGGCAATTTATTAGACACCCAGTAGATGATAGAGAAGGATTCTTCCACGCTGGCTGGTTTTGTGGCCGGTTTGCACCAGATGGGCCAATATAGAACTGTTAATGGTTTTCACTACACCTTTACTTAGCCATAGTGGGCGATGTTCTCGAGTGATCACAAAAAAACCAAGTTCCTAGAGCCACGGTCAATATAACTCGCTCCACCATCGGCGCAGTTGAATTGGTAGATACAATTAGAAGTGGCTAGTCTAGTGTGGGTACTTCATCTTTCAGTCGAGGTAGCACCATAGATCGTGTAGACAATAAGACGTGTAGTTTGCTAGCATGAAACGTTTTTGAACTGGTTTTCTTCGCAATTATTTCCCTTGGTATATCGCCCTCGAATTGTAGTCGTATATAAAAAGGCTTCTTGTTTACGGATAGTGAGTAGTCCTTCTCCGCTTTCTTTGTCATGTGTCTCTTGATAAATTTTTCGGGATAGCTATTTTCAATCAATCAAAGTATCATACACAATGTTTAACTCATCTTCAATTACTTCTTCTGAGCACATAGCTCTAACTCTGTGGCTGAGGGTCTTTACTTAAGAGGGACGAAACTGTGAAAATGTGTATATTGTCCTGTCCAAGTACTTTTTCTATGCAAATTTCTTTTTATGCCACCATCTGGTTTTCTTGTAAGGAGGACATACAGGAAGGCAATCCTAGAAGGCACAAAGACATCGATGTCAACTAGAGAGACACTGAAAATCAGAGAGTACTGGACAGTTGTTTCAACCTTTTCAAAGACTCTTCATCAGTATGCATCGCCGCCCCCCCTCCTGGAGATCGAACCCAGGACCTCTAAAGTGCCTATGAGGTAAACTCACTGACTGACCATTCAACCAATTGGGTAGGACAATATCGAGCCTTGCACAGAAGTGTATCTCGTTGCGTTAGCCAATTTCGGCCAAGTTAAATTTTTAGGCACCACTAACTAACTACCACTGGAGTGCGAACGCGCACCAATGACCTTGAGACGCTCACTGAGAAAGTTAGTGAAATCCGGCAAATAATGTTGGTACTTATTCGTCCGAGCATACAGTCTCCTATAGTTGTTTCTAGTTCTACCCAATGACATAGATAGAAGGAGAGAGTTGCGCATAGAGAGAGAGAGAGGATGTTCAGGGTCGGACAGGATAATATTTGCTTATTTCTTGAAGGAGTCCATGTGTCCACTGTCTACAATAGGATTAACGAGTTGGTTTAGCGATGACCTTCAGTGCCCTACGCAGTATAACAAACAATGTTTTTCTTGAGTAGCCCAGGAAAGATTAAGCTGGGGGGAGGGGAACAGTAAAGCAGTGGAGGCAGAATACAAGAATTAACAAACTGTAACAGTAGATACGGAATGATACTCTATCGTCTTAACTTCCTGACACAGAACTTCAAACGAAATACCTTTCTGGAAACTAGCAAAATTTAGGAAGCCCAGGGAAGGTGATCAGAGGAAACACACAGTCCTAAGTATTTGACATCTGATTTACTTTCAACTTCAGTGCCATCTATGATAGTGGAATCGTGCGAACTAACCACTTCACGTAAGTCGCGCTTGTGTGTCCGCAGGTGAAATCAACCACCTGACATTTAGAGGGATTAAGCTTCAGATCATTTAAACTTAAGGACCACTGACTAATTTCTGATAAAAGGTTATTCATTTTGGAACATTTTGACTAAGAAGTAACCGCCGGCATAGAAACAGTCACATCACCGGCATACTTACAGAAATTGGCTTCGTCAGAACAGGGCAAGGAAGTCATGTAAGAAGAAGGAAAAAAGAAAAGGAAAAAGAACAGCTCCTTGAGTGGGGAACGCCAGCGACAGTAAGTGAACCAGTTGAGGACTTCCCATTGCAAGCAGTGTACTGCTTCCTACCAGAAAAGTAAGAATGCAACCACTTTACAGTCCAGTACCCTAATTGTGTTACAGCAAGTTTATATAACAAAAGACGCCTAGGTACAGTAGTGTAGAAGGTAGATGTGTAATGTAGGAAGGCACACCGAACATACTTGGCACCTTTATCTAAACTAGAGACAGACAATATTATGATATAAGACAACAGTAGCGTCTAAAGTACACCTACTATGTTTATAAGCAAATAGATTACAGCCGTTAATAAAAGCCTTCAATGAAGGTTCAAGGTTAAGTAAAAGAAGTTTTGCTACTATTTCTTTTTTTAAAATAAGGTGAAGTCTATAAACAAAATTATTAATGGATTTAGTCAACGGACCACCTGGTCAAGTGAATACCAGAACAGAATACCAAAATAAACAAATAAATAAATAAATAAGAGGAGAAGGGGAGTAAGAAAGACACATGTGTATTATTGTACTCCAATGTAAACAATTAAAAAGCATACACATTATAGCTGAGTCACTAAGATAATAATAATAGTAGTAGTAATAATAATAATGCCTTTACATCAAACTATTTTATAGGACTACAGTAGAAAATATTGTTGAATACAGACGACATATAGTAAGAGAGACAGAGAGAGGGAAATAAGTTAGCAGTAACTCAGTTCAATATGCCATAGTATATTACAGAAAGCAAATTTGTTCTAAGGCAACGCATGCACATGCACACGCAGGCACGACCCCATATGACTGAACATAATACCACCACCCCCAACCACCCGCAAACGACTTGATACGGTGGAGGATGAGTAGAATGGCTTAGGTCTGTTCTAATACACGCACCAGTTCCCTTGCGGGTCAGACAACAATTGCATGATTGATTGGTTGGAGAACCATTGGAAAACCTCCACTCGAGTACTGGATAGCTAGTTTGGGACTCATCAACAGTACACACCCACTACCAGGGTTCGAACCCAGAACCTTCTGGTTACAAGGTGAGCCAGCTCGTAGACGATTAAGTCACTGGGACATGCCAATCCAATGGCGGCCAGTTCATGAATTCTAACTTCTGCCAATTCATGATATAGCGCGACCACTTCGCAATGTCTTTTCCGATGATGAGTTACTGCCACACTTTCAACCTGCCGTACCCTACTGGTCACGGCTTCCCACTAGAATCCCAGGTCACTACCTGAATAGGGCCAGTTGCTAGTGAGCATCAGACGAATTTTAAAGCTTTGGTATTTGTGGGGATTTTTTGTTTGACTGATTGGAGGATTTCATCAGAGGGTCCTGGGTTCCAGCCCTGGTCGGTGAGTACTGATGGAGAGTCCAAAACTATGGGGACGAAACAGCTGTCCAGTACTCCCAGCTGGTTTTCCAATGGTTCTCTAATTGATATCACCTCATGATGAAATCCTCCGAGCAATCAAACAAAAAACAAATCCCTACAAAAACCAATACTTGACAATTGCAAGTATTAGCTCTAGGATTACTGCAATTATTCATGTACTATATATGATCTAAGGAACCATAGCTGATTTAATGAGCCATTGGCGGTTTCACCGTCTTAAGGTATGTACTTATAGAAGAATGGCTCAATCTCTGAGACAAGTATATAACTACTGGCAGGATCAACCACCTGATTCGCATAACTGTACACCACCCATTGACTGGGTGTATTAGTTTTCAGGAGAACCAAACACACCTATGCCTGCTTCTTGTGAGACGAGACCAGCATGTAGTATCATCCTGCGGCGCAACCACTTGAGAGCTCTCTCCCTCGTTGGACCATTCTCACCGTTAGTATACACAATAAGCATAGTTACGCCGATCGATGATCGTGTTCACTGCCTACACCCAAAGGATGGGGTGTTCCAAATACACACACACACACACACACAAAAGTGAAAGGTGAATATGAATTGATTTCCAAACCTATATTGTACATGGACTCCAGGAT